GAAATGCTTGCACACGTGCACAGGGGAAGATTAAAGCTTCCTAAAAGGTAGAGGTGGCTTTGTGTACACCCCACATCAATTTTTTGCTCTATATGCAGCAAGGAGCAAAATCCCTCCAAGGTTGAAAGAATAAATTAGTTCTAGGGCAAGTATTCCTCAATTATTCATCCAGATTCTGTGACTGAGGGAAGAACTGGTAATCAGGAATGTAGATTATCCTTAAGTTCCCTGCAGACCACTGATAAAAGCTGTCATGCCTTTTAATTGTGCATGCAGACAACAGACTCTCTTTTTGACCCCCATTTCAGCTTTATTGTCATTCATGCTGGAAAGTTTTTGGAAAGAAACTGTCTGTGACTGCATCCTGAGCCTTTCATATGCTCCCAGCTGTATCAGAAATGCAGTCTCCTCTACTCACTGTCATCAACAGAACTACCTTCAGCTGGTGCAGCCCTTGAGTAGTCAGCAGAAACAGGAGAACAGAGAGATGTTCACACACCTCTGGATATTGTTGCTGACTTAAGTATCCCACTTCAAAAATATGGAGGATATTAAATCATCTTATCATCATCTACAGTTGCTCAAGCACAAGTTCTAACTGCAGACATCCCTCAAACCAAACTAGATACACAGTCATTTTCCCTGAGCATTTAGAACTTTGCAGCAGCCAGTTCTTCCCTCAGCAACTCCTTGGGGCACACCAGCACCTCAGGTTCACTTTGTAACTTAATGTTCAGGTGGTTCACTGAATATTTTAAGTCTTTCACTGAGTCTACTGCTTAACATGCACAAGTACAGACCAGAAGCAGAAAACACCACTGTATAATGACCCAGGGAAAGGAAGATTTACAGGCATATTCAGCTGCTCCTACAGTTAAAGATACACCCATGACACAAGGCATGTAACTCACCTTTTTCTGCAAAAGCAATTATAACAAGCTGTCACTTTTCAAGGGAATTTAAAGGAGTTTTGTGTCCAAATTCCTTTGAGATTCAATGGGAATCAGTCATTTAGAGATGTGAAAATCCCACTTGAATCATTATGCTTGGTACCTATCAGATGTGCTGGTAAAGCTCAAACAACTGCATTAATTTCAATGTAATAGTTCTTTGAGAAGGAATGTGGCAAGAACTGTATTTCAGAAACACTGAAGACTGAAAACTATTACAACCACATTGTGAAGAACATTTTAACATGGTGAGAAAGGCTTCCAAGATAAAAAATGTAAGGAGTTAGATAAGCCATTGGAAGGGAAAAAAGAACCCTCCACCATGCTAGAGGTTAGAAATGTCAGCAAGGTAGGACAGACAGACATTGATTCTGTTGCTTTCTTCCACCCATGGCATGTTACAGCCATGAGGAACCTACATGACCTGCCTATCAGCTGTTCCATGATGTGCCATAAGATGTGATGGTCTGATGCCAACCTTGCACAACCCAGTGTAAATTGGATCTTGCAGCCATTAGGATTGATTAGATAATTCTAATGAATAGAGAGAAAAAAAAACAAGTGTTCTGCAACTCACCACGTCATGTGAGGATGGGGAAAGTGGAATCCCTTGCAAATCATCAGCAGTTGATTCAGCTGAGAACTGGCACAATTATTCTTTTATTCCTATGGCATCATAAAGTACCACTTTTTCAGGTGACAACTTAAGACAGGTGAGATCACTCACAAGGAGACAGAAGGAAAAGATGAAGCTCAGATCCTCAGGCAGCTCTAAGTGGCAGGACTTCAGGGCAGCCTACAGCCCAGTGCCAATTTACAACAAGCTCCTGATGTGGTCCTTGGTCTCTTGAGTCTGTCCCCTTCCTCCCACGGTGGCAGAAGACCCGTGTTCCAGGCAAGAGACTTTGCAAATCAGTAAATGATCTCTCTTCAAACAGGCTGAGTGGGCTTTTTCAAACCATGCACATTGCTCTGCAGCTGGCAAGGCAGGGGAGCTTTATCTCATCTGTCCAAGAATCCCTTTTATCTCTAATTGCTGGAATCAAACAAAAGCAGAACATCTATTTAATTGATTCGGGGAGTTAAGAACGAATCGTTGCAACTGCAAAGGGAAATCTGCCATCAGATTTGGTGGCCTAGTTTGGGGTTCTGATCCAAAGAATAAACAAAGCTAATGAATTTCTAATTAAGCATTCATTGATAGAGCTCAAATGAAGGAAGTGGCTGGCTGTTTCCTCCAGCTCTTGTAATCAAGAGACAGAACAAGCTCAACGTGAGCAAATTAATGTTACTGTGCCCAACAAAACAGAAATGGTCTGAGCAATAATAAAATAATGAAAGCTGCTCAGGCACAAACAAAGCAAATAGCTGCTCAGAAGAAATACACTAAATACTTCCTAGCATTTCTTCTGTGTCTGCCAGATACTGGATTTCAGTCCTTGCAGACCAAATTCTGCACAGGCCTTGACAGTTCATGTCAGTGTTTGTCTCCTCTTGAAGGGGCTGTTGGGAACACAGGGGGCAGACCCCCCAAAATGTAAGACTCCTTCCAATCCATAAAAGAAAAATGCAGCAGGATTCAGAGAATCTAAGAACAGGTAATTTTAATTTGCACATTTCAAAACTGATTTGGAGGTTTTAATTTCATTGTAGAAACAGACATAATATCTGGATTCCTAATTTCCAGACAAGGGAAAGAACATAGAACCCTGTACCTGTGCTCCTGACTTTCAAAATACTCCCCTGAGAGCCAGAGGGTCAGTAACACACAACAGCAATTTTCAGTGTGTTCAACTTAGACCAGATAGATTCTAGCAGACATGCTAGAAGTTCTAGCAGACACAGGCATGCTGTACTGCATCCCCACAGCACTGACACTGGCACAGAGCTTGGACTGCTACACTGGACCCGTTCCAGCTCCCCCCTTCTTCTTCAGAGCTGCTCTGATCAATCTTATAAATAAAAATCAATCAATTAATCCATAAAACATGGTGCCACAGAATGACAATATGTTGGGTTTTGCAGTAAATGTAGTAGTACAAAACACTGGGAAAGGAAATTGCTTAATCATACTTTACTCTGTAGAGTACCTCTCAGCTATTTTGTGATATGGGTGCCATGCATGGATCAACCCTTTCCATCTCTTTATATATTGTATAAAAAACCACAGTGTTGCACAACACATCAGAGGGATGTAATATTTTCAACACAGAAGGGCCCTTTTCCCCCACTCTCAGAGCTGTGCCTTGATAGAGTAGAAACAACTTTTAAAAACCCCAGATACAAGCAATGCTTTAGCTGTTCTGCCTTAGGGCTGCTGGTTTCTGCTAGTTCAAAATAAGCAGTTACAGCTCTTTTGATGGTCCTGAAAAAAGACCAGGAGGAGACAATGAAGACTTCTGCTGTACACCTCAATGCCAAACACCCCGATACACTTTCTACTGGGGAAACTGGTTTTTTTCATAAGAAAACAAACAAACAAGACAAACCCCACTAGACTTCAGTGCCCAAGTGTTCTGCAGCACAGAGGAATTTTCACCAACTCTAGTTGCACCCAAGTAACTTCTTAGTGCTCAATGAGGCTCAGGGCTCAGACCTTCACTATTCCCTGAGCAAAGGCCATTCCTAGACTGAGTCCAAGCTAACTCAGTGTGTAGCAGAGGAAAACATACAAAGAAGATGCTGCTGTCATGGAGCTGCTGGCTTTTGCCTATGCAGCAGTAGCAGGTGGCTGCCCAGCTGCCACTTTGTCATGTCAGTACTGTTATTTCTTATAATTCACCAGGATCATTGGCATTTTGAACGTGAGGTTGGGATTCTTCTCCTGAAAGGTTGTTAGATGAGATGATGGGACTCACACCTAACTAAGCCAGCAGGAGAACAGCAGGTAGAAAGGGACATCACATCTTGCTGCTGGGTGACTCAGCTCAGCCAGTACCTGCCTGCTTGTTCCAACACAGTCTTAAGGATGAGCCACACAGGGCAGACCATTTCATTCCAGCTGGCAGCCAGTTTTCACCCTGTTCCTCTGTTCACCACCGTGGCAAACATTTTGCTAACAATAACCTGCCAATGGGACAGGCTTTATGGCAAAAGGGAATGGGGGAGCTGGAGTCAGCACATCCTGTGCCTGGAAATACAGGTTTCCAGAGCAGGATGCCTTCAGTAGGAGCTTTCTTTTCCTTCTAGTAACAAAGCTTGATCCTTACCTCTGAGTCACACTCCAACTCCACACAGCAGGGCTGTCTGCAGACACACTTTCCCATCCTCCTGGCACACACTGCTGGCAGAGAGGGGGGGCTTTTCCACTCATTTTCCCTTGTTTTTAAAAAAAAGTACAAGGAAGAGCATTAAAAGCCTACAATTACAAAGCTTATTTTCTTGGGATATGATGGGGAGTTGTTTTTAAAAGCTGAGATATATTCCTTTATTAATAGATGGCACAATAACTGATATCATTAATAACTAAAACTTATGCTCAAATTGAATGTAGGGGAGAAAAGTATAAATCCACTGGGCATGAAACAAGGCATGCCACTTCACATGAATTAAATGTTCTACAATAATTTGTGTTTAGAAGCTCACTGAACCTCTGACCAAGCCCACTGTGAATCTTTTCATCTTGCTACAACATCTACATTGCTCCTTTCTTCCCTGTGTTCTCTGCAAGCTACACAAGAAACCTATTTTGGGCAAACACCAAAATCAATCTCTGTTAAAGCTAACATGTATTAGCACATAAAGCTATACCTGTGCTGCTGTACTTTGCATATTTGATGTCTGAATAATGGATAGTTGATCTAACATGCATGAATGCAAATGCTACTGACATTTAAATCAAATGTTGAATAAAATGATTAGTAGAAGCCTCACTTGCATTGCTTGTCAGTGGAGAATAATTCCATTCATCCTCCTGAGGGCACTTTAGATTTGCAAAATAAAATCTCTCATCAGCTCTACTGTGATAGTGACACAGAAGCCTCTACCACCTCTTGAAACTGTTCATTCCATGTAGCTTAAGCTCAGAAGAAAAAAGGTGTAGCTTTTTACCTCTGCCAGCCATTGCCCTTCACAGCTTAACATCCCTCCTATTCAAGTATCCTGAAAACCATGGCAATGATGCCACACAACAGGTAACACTGCTTGAGGTCACTGGAAGATGGTAGGAAACACCAACCCTGCTCTACCTTTGGCAGATGACTGGTAGTAAGCAGGCTTGTCTTTGTGCCATTAGTGACAGGCACACAGATTAACTTATCTATATTACTGTCTTTCCCCCTTCTTTAGGAAGAAACTAAGCACTTCTGTGGTATCTCTCTCCTAACAAATGTCTCCCAACCCCCACCTACATTTAACTCCTTCCTCAAGAAAACTTTGAGGAGCTTGTTCAGCAGCAAATTTGGTACCTTCTGACTCAGGGAGACAAACTATCATTGCCCTTTTGAGCATCCAATTAAGTCTGTAATAAATATATTCCCAGATTACCTTTGATAACTCTCTGCTACATAAATACTGTTCTGTTTTAGTCAACCAGTAATACTGTGGGTAGCTGCAGGGCAGTTATTTAGTTTTAGTCTTTGTTATTAGCCCAACTAGGTAAGGATAAATACTCAGCCCTTATGATCCAAGTCTCAGACAGGACTTACCTCTAGTGAATCTCAAGGAACAGAGGAAGCAAAGGTAACCAGATACTGATGTATTCTGCCAGGACTGTGAACCACACCTATGTGCTTTCTCACAGATTTGTTTACATGTAATTACCTGGTTATTAGGAACACTTGGTGAAGAGCAGGATCCTGAGGAGCACACACACCATGGAAAAACTGCAAATGGAAGGGAGAAACAACCCCCTCGTTGCTGTTGATGCACACAGGGAGGTGCTGAAAGGGTTGTGGGCCTCACTGAGACCCCAACCACAACACTGAGCCTCCAACAACCCCCCAGAGCTTGCCCAGGGTGACTGGTGGGGAATGGGAGGAGGAGGGGGGAGGAGGAGTTACACACAGGTGGGAAAGGGGATGAGGAGTTACACACAGGTGGGAAAGGGGATGAGGAGTTACACACAGGTGGGAAAGGGGATGAGGAGTTACACACAAGGTGGGAAAGGGATGAGTTCATCTACACAGAGGGTGGGAAAGGGGAGGAGAAGGGAAGAGGAGAGTTACACACAAGGTGGGAAAGGGGATGAGGGAAGAAGAGAGTTACACAGAGGGTGGGAAAGGGGAGGAGAAGGGAAGAGGAGAGTTACACACAAGGTGGGAAAGGGGAGGGGGAAAGAGGAGAGTTAGATACAAGGTGGGAAAGGGGAGGAGGAAGGAAGAGGAGTTACACACAGGGTGGGAAAGGGGATGAGGAGTTACACACAAGGTGGGAAAGGGGATGAGGGAAGAAGAGAGTTACACAGAGGGTGGGAAAGGGGAGGAGAAGGGAAGAGGAGAGTTACACACAAGGTGGGAAAGGGGAGGGGGAAAGAGGAGAGTTAGATACAAGGTGGGAAAGGGGAGGAGGGAAGAGGAGAGTTAAACACAAGGTGGGAAAGGGGAGGAGGAGGAGGGAGAGTTACACATGAGGCGGGCAGGTTGGGATGAGGGGAGTTACAGGGCAGGAAAGGGGAGGAGGAGCAGAGTTAGATACCAGGGGGGAAAGAGGAGGATGAGGGGAGGGAGGCAGCGAGACCTGAGGTGTGTCTGGGGCGGTACCACGAGGAGCTAACCCAGAGCCCAGCCCCGCAGCAAGCCCAGCCCAGCCCCGCTCCTCCCTCCCCATCCCGCTCCTCCCGCTCCTCCGGCGCATAAAACGGGTCCGCGGGGTTGGCCGGCCCTCAGAGGAGCCTCTCCCCTTCCCGATCACCATGAGCTCGTACGGCTACGACCCGTTCTTCCCTCCCTACAAGCGGCGTTTCGCGGACGCTCCGCGCCTGCACGTCTCGCTGCGCAGCGGCAGC